ACTCGCCTCTTTGACGCACATTTGCACCTGCCGTCGACTTCAACACGACTCGGTGGACTTTAATGATTCACGTCAGCCTCGACTTATTAGCATATTTACATCAAACATAAGGGGCGACAGCCAGCGGGGGTCCAGCGGGGGTCCGGTCATCAGTCGTTCACGTAGGTCGTACGTGGAGGTTGATTCATCATCGTTATCGCCAGGATCCTTTCTTCACATTTGTCTCCTCACCTCTGACGACGGTGTCGGTGATTCAGCGGGGCCGCAGCACTGACACCACCAGGCCAGCTGATGTATAACGCGTGTATATTTAGCCTGTATTAGCAGCTGCTGTGACCATGTGACTGCCGCGCGTGTTCTCCTGCCTCAGACCAGAGGCGTTTACAGCTCAACAGCTTCACAGAGAAGAACTGAAAAATATTCTGAACATCAGAGGTGAACCAACATCTGGGTCGAGGCCCACATGGACTGGGCTTCAGTCTGTTTTAAAATCATTGTATTTTTAAACCGTGAGAAAATTGAGGGTTGAATTTCCAAACCCGAGAAACAGAGAAAAAAACATTGGACCCTGAAGGCAGCGTTGAACCGACAACTTCTGTTCGGACTTCAGTGAAGTCGGTGGTTTTTTGAGTTTTTATTGGCTGGGAAAAAGATTTATTTTTGAAATAGAATCAGCAGACATTACATTGGGCTATTCAAATGTTGGCTCGCAGGCCACATGTGGCCCACATGTGGCCTCAGAGCGGCCCAGTCTGTGGTTTGATTAAAGAATCCCATTAGGACCGTGCTCGTTAGTTCCTACTGATGAATGGAACTGTCTCTGTAACCTAGCAACAGGACGACCCACAATGCACCTCAACATGTTTGGTAATAGTAAAAAAATCTGCACTGTCCCTTTAAGAGCCTCAGGTCGTCTGCTCTAATCCTGACCTTTCCTTTAAATGAAAACAAATCAAATGATCTTCTGTCTGTGGACGTCAGTCCATAGATTTAAATCTTTCAACCAATCAACAAAGAGCGGCTCCGATCTGTCAGAACTCAACGTGGACTTCGTTGGTCGGACCAACAGAACCGGACCAACAGGGTCGGACCAACAGAGTCGGACCAACAGGGTCGGACCAACAGAACCGGACCATCAGAACCGGACCAGTGTGGATCCAGAACTCCGCTCTGGTGGGTCAGTGGCTCTGACTGAAGCCACGGTTGTCATGGTAACCTGCAGAGTAAACCTGCGGGTGAAGCAGATTTGTCTCCAGAGGACGGAGCGTCTCAACGTTCACGTTCCTCCAGAGCTTTAAAGGTCGAATACGTGAATTTTCATCCAGTCTGTGAAGCACAGGCAGGAAGAGGAACCGATCGGAACTTTTTAAAAATACGTATGTCAAATATATATATACATATATATATAAAATTTATTGAATTTATTAATTCATCATTAATAATTTAAATTTGCATCACTTGAATTAATCACAAATAAAAACAACAGGTGAGAAACACTGACCTCTACCTGCTGTTTTCTTAATATACATAAACCATGTATATTTAGTACATACAGTACTTATATATATGTGGAGTCAGTACTAGTGAATATATTTCCTGACCTCTCTGACCTCAACTGACTCGTCAACTGTTTCTTCTGTTCTGGTTTTGGTCCAGTGGGTCGGACAGGGAGCCACAGGAAGTGGAAGTCAAGGAGGATCCGTCACTTCACTGAAGGCACCGCCGTCTCCCTGACACACACACACACACACACACACACACACACACGGGCTCACGGAGTAGAGAGGAGTGGAGTACTGCAGTACAGCTGCCCCCTGGTGGAGACTAACGACCCCCCCCCTCCCCGCACTAACCTGCCCCTCACTCACCAACATTCCAACTGAACTAACGTCGGTGGAGGCCGTGGACCGAAGGCGTTCTTTTTAACGGGTTGTGAACCATAGGTTGAACCACGTGTCGGTTCTTTACTGCATGATTATTGTCATGTTCTGTCAGTGGGCGTGGTCTCAAAAAAAAGGAAAAAACAAAAACGCTGAAGCAACTTCGACGAAGGTGTTCGATTTAGATGTTTCTCATTGGTTGTCAGCGCTCGGCTCTGATTGGTTCGTTGAATCTTTGTTGTTCTCATCACATTCTCCGTCTGTGAGGTTCCCGTTCTTCTGTGTCGCAGTGGAACGACTGGGTCGAGGAACATCAACAGAACCTCAGATTGTTTGCTAATTCACAGCCACATGGCTGTACTACAACACTGCAGTATTTGTCTCTACCAGTACTACCAGTACTACCAGTACGACCAGTACGACCAGTACGACCAGTACGACCAGCTCCATACAGAACCACAGACCCTCACTGTTGAGCTACGACCAGTTTATGACGACTGTCGCCCTCCTGTGGACACTCTTCATAAACTGTTTATCAGACGATAACACTGTCAAATGAAGTAGTACTACAAGCAGTACTTCAGTTCAACTCATAGTTAACAACTTAGTTATTCACCTAATTTTTTAATGAGACCCACATACCACTAGAGGGAGCCCAATCACCACCAGTGGTCCACGTACACTGGTTTGAGAACCTCTGGATTCAGCTGTAACTTTTTTCCGTGGACAGTGAAGGCATCGCTGGCTTTTCTTTTGTCTGAGTGAAAAAAAAAAAAGTAACTAAATATTTAAGGATGAGACATTTTAGTATAAATATACTACAGTATGACAGTACTTTGAAGTACTCATGTGAACTGCTGAACTAAACCTAAATAAACAGGTTATCGATAGTCGAAGCTGGTAGTTCAGTATCTAAACTCAGAAACGTTCAGTAGCGCTCAGTTTTCCTAGCGTCGGGACCACTTCCTGTTTTTATTAACGATCAAACGATAACGTGTTTTTAACCTGTAGTACTTCAGAGGAAATACTTCAGTCTGTGATCTTGTGTGTATTTAACACCTGTCACAACCAACGACTTCTTCTACCCCTCCCTCTCCTCCTCCCCCGCCCCCTCCGACTCCTCCCCCTCCTGCTCCCCCTTCAGTGTTGTAGGTGAAGTGTATGCATCATTTTTCTGTGGGTTTAAATCCTCTCTCGTTTGTTTGTTTTTTGTTGTTGTAGTTTTTCTTGTGGTACTAACTCTGACCCTACTGTAAACACAGTGTAGTAGTACTGTAGTACTACTGTAGGGCAGATCGTGTTCTTTCAGATGTTATTAATAAATATTTCTTTACGTACAGCGAGGCTCATTTTCTCTTTGAACTACGGAGGCTACGTGGGGTGCGGCTCATTTTAGGAGCATACTGCCACCTACTGTTCTGGAGTGTGTAGTGTCATGGTATGACCAGCGACTTTTTAAGATAACGCAGTCAACTCCTTACACCTTGATGTGCGATTTTTTTTTTATTTCAACCAATAAGAAATGTGACAGATTTTTAATCCATTGACGATGCATCGTTACATCGTTACATCGTTACATCGTTACATCGTTACATCGTTACATCGTTACGTCGTTACTGTGGAAGAAATCAAGAATCCTTCAAATGAAAGCTAATTTGAGCAGCTGCCCACTCACCCTCTCCCCCCCAGACCACCTCCCCCTCCTCACCCTGGGACCTGCTGCTCCTGTGTTTTTGGGCTAACGCCGCTCCGTCTAATGCACGTCTGCTTCCTTCATACATAAATAATCACAGGCCCCAAAATGTCACCGTTAAAAGGCGAACGCCACAGAAGGAACTCTTTTCCATCACTTCACACATGTCCTCGCTGACGCTGAGGTGTCGACCGGGGACTCAAACCGCTGACAAACGTTTCTAAAACCACTCAGCCCAAATGCACTGCTGTGTTTCCACCAGAACCACATCTTTAACCACCGACGTCTGGAGTCTGGAACTCACTTCACTGCAGATTTGACTTCACCTAAATATAGAACAGGAGGAGAAGAAGAAGAAGAAGAAGAAGGAGAAGAACGGGAGGAGCTGCTGGTCATAAAAACCAACAACAATTAGTGCGTTCTGATTGGTGCTCTGGGATGTTTGGACCTGAGATCCACCGTGAGCCACGTTGCTGAAGATGAAGAAACTTTAATGAGTAACAGGGGAGGAAGAGGAGGAAGAGGAGGAGGAGGAGAGACGACAGACAGACGAGTGGGCCGCATCCAGGATCCTACAGAATAATGGGCCGCAGGAGAAACAACAAGTCAAGATGGAGAAGATGTGTTCAGGTACCATCAGTGATGTGTTCAGGTACCATCAGTGATGTGTTCAGGTACCATCAGTGATGTGTTCAGGTACCATCAGTGATGTGTTCAGGTACCATCAGTGATGTGTTCAGGTACCATCAGTGATGTGTTCAGGTACCATCAGTGATGTGTTCAGGTACCATCAGTGATGTGTTCAGGTACCATCAGTGATGTGTTCAGGTACCATCAGTGATGTGTTCAGGTACCATCAGTGATGTGTTCAGGTACCATCAGTGATGTGTTCAGGTACCATCAGTGATGTGTTCAGGTACCATCAGTGATGTGTTCAGGTACCATCAGTGATGTGTTCAGGTACCATCAGTGATGTGTTCAGGTACCATCAGTGATGTGTTCAGGTACC